GCCTTGGATAGAAGGAATGAGTGATGATCACCTAGAACAGCGTACACCACAACGGTGCGAGATCAGTGCTCGGAGAGAGAGGAGGATAAAGCAAACCCGTGCAAGCCGTATGTGCGCCTCTTTTGACTGGTTCTTATGAGCAAGCTAATTTGGCATATTATTACTGTGTTTATTATGTGCTATGCGGTCACATATATTTCTATTCAGAGGATTGACCACTGCTGTGACGGCTGACTTCATGAGAGCCGGATATCGAAACGAAATCAAGAATCATGTGATCGTTTACATCACAGCTACCACAAAGTAAGACTAATTTTTACCTTGTTCTCCCTTCATCCAGCAAGTCACAAAATGTGCCATCACTGGAATGGAAGTTGAACAGTCCTGTCTGGCCACTTGCAATGAAATGCACACCGGTCCATTTGTCTTTGTCGTTGTTCAAACATGACTTCGCCTTTCGTGGGGCGTTTCTCTTTGAGCTCTCACGAAGGTGTTTCTCTTTCTCTATTGCATGCTATGACATGAAACTCCTTTTTGAGTCACAACCCAGAGTTGTGTCAGTTTAGGGAAGCCCTAGCGCGCGAAAGGTGAAGTGATTGGCAAGTATACGGTTCGTACCCACTTCGTGAAGTGATGGAAAGACGCTAAGGCGTTAGGTTTCACGTGGTACTTCACCCAGCACCCGGGAATCCGCCCACGAATAACATCATGGACCAAAATTGCACCATGTTTTTTTCACCAAATCTTTTTCCTCTCCTCAACAGTCTCGCTCATTGTGTCCTATAACCCTCCTCGGCCAGGGGAAAGGGCCAGTATTTTTGGAGATCTCGCTGCCATCTTAACCCATTTTCTACATCATCTCTTCATATCGCACCTTTACTGATTATCTTGCGAATTAATTTACCCAGCTTGTTTCTGGGTCGTGCTTTTAAGCGCTATAGAGCAGTAAGTTATGGCACGCACTCACAGGCACTACATCGTGGCATCGATTCGTTCAGGTCCAGTGTTTTTTCTTCTGTTCTCCACAGCCACACCAGGAAGGCCTAATCCATGTCACTCGATCAGTGCGCGATAATCGTGTCCATGAGATGGCACTGCTTCCCTTATACAGTATGTAACCAATCTCAGATATGAGCCAAACTTTTGGAAACAGCAGTCACTCGTCATCAATTTGATGCCGAAGCCATTTCCTTAAATCAAAAAATAGGGTCTCATCCGGTAAGAGGGGGCATTGCGGTGCACGGTCTGCTCTAATGCCAATTTGGCTCAAGGAGTCCTTTAAAGTTACGAGCTGCTATCAGCTTTTTTCCTATGTTATTTCTTCAGGTGTTTTGTGTAATGTATGTATTCTTGTACTAGATGACATTAACGTCTACGAAAAGTAGTATTCACCTAGTCAGCAGGTCAGGACTAAGCCTAGAGACCAGTTGACACACGGGTACCCCCCCCCCAGCGCGGCAAGAAGGCAGAGTCGCGGACGAGTTGCAGCGCGTGATGTGCGATGTAGGACGTGCAATGGGACACTCTATTTAACTTGACGCGAATCCCTATAGTACGCGCGCGACTCGTCCGCTGACTTGCCTTCTTGCCGCGCGACGGGCCTCCTGGGGGTACCCGTTCCCATACAATTGACCGTCGAGCGGGGGTTAGTGGAAAGGTGGCTAAAGAAACGACAGATGCTGAGGTTATGCCTATTCCTTCTTTTCTCTATATTCTTTTTTTGGAGTTTTCGCCAGAATCGCTGAAAATTCTTTGAAAACGGCTCCCTTTCCTACTTCTCAGTAACAAGACCTCCAGCTTCCACCTTTGTGACCCCCATTTCCCTTTTTGGCGGCCCTTCCCAGAGGGTTTCAGATAGTATCTCCGTATCACCATCACCAACACACAGAATCAAAACACGAACCCCACTCCAAAGAACCAAATACAGTCCCGCTTTGGAAATTACGCATCAGACGATGAGAGTAATGTCATCTAGTCTGAAATCCTTATATCTGAATTTCGATGGAAGGCTACCTTTGATGACCACAGCTTTACCCTCATTTAGTACTACCTAATTAAGCCCAACATAGTATTTTGTTTGTGAAAGATATTTCTATAGGTTCGACGATGATCCGACAAGTGTTGTGAGCATGATCCGTATGACGGGCGCTTACGGTATCGTCACTGTGGGCTATGGTCCGAGTGTAACCGATGAGGCTGCCCTTCAGGTTAGTCTTGAGTACTTTTGTAGTTGGAATAGAGAGATAATCAATCAAACACGAATATGGAAGAGAATATAGTGGTTATATGTTCGGTCGGCCCCACATTTCACTGTTTAGGTCAAATCGCAATCAAATTCCCACTACGACTCTGGATGGGAGTAGTATGCGTGGCGCATCCTAAAGCCTTAGTGATCAATGCTGAATGCTTCATACTTCATCCTATCCATTAAATTTTTCTTTCCTGGTAAACACCTGTTTAGTCACCACCAATTGGAATTCGGTTTGTGGTAGAGCTCCTAGTCAGCTTGCTGTATACCACGATGAAGAAACGAAATGCAGTCGATCTAGTGGTACAGGCTTTTGAGGGATTTTGTCTCTCCCTTCCTGAACAATGCTTTACAAATCCAGACACAATGTTTGCCGAACTGGATAGTCACGTGATGTAAACATCGACAAACATTCCCAAGTCTTTGTTTGGGCTGAATGTGCACACCCATTTAACACATTCACGCCGATGGCCGCCCATATGGGCTGCCAACAACATGCGCTCCTGGGACGATGGCAGCCCATATGGGCTGCCAACTGATAATCGCTTGCCAGGCGCTATGGACAGATAGGTGGGCAAACCTCGTAATCGAGTGTAAAATGCTTTTAAATTCCTTCACGGGGAAAGTGAATAAATGCTCTCTTTTCGTAACCACTATTTGTCGTTCTGATCGAAATCCTACTGTTATATGTTTAGATAATCTTTACGCATTGGACATTGCAGAAATTATTTTGTGACATTCATGTTTTTGTTCATTTACAAAACAAAATCTGCGGTTATGTGGTGAGGCGGCGGCGCCCACAAAATCGCGTCCGTCCCACGCGACCGAAAAGTGGAAAAGGGGCGTCGTCGTGAATGTGTTAAAGGAGGAATTCACGATAAAAAAACGACGGCCAGTGAAGGGGAAAATTGCATAGTTGGGAGACAGGCGGACCTCCTGAGGGTGCTGACCGACGCGTAATTGGCAGCGAAAGATTTGACCTCGGCGATCTAGCATGGCTCACTCTTGGCGCGGTTGGCGGGGTACGCCCACCGACTATCTAATCACTCGCCGCAGGTCTATACGTGGCGAGTGATTAGATAGGAGAGAGCGTAGTGTTGAAGAGGCACACGATGAAGTCGCATCAGTGCGCAAATCCAAGCGGGCAAAGAAGGGTTCGCAATTTTCGGATTTCGGGCCATTTCAAATGGTTGCTTTTTCATCCCTGCTCCACTGACACCTCTACCCTTATTTCCAATGAGCTAACTTTTCATCGTAAATTCTGCCGTTAGCTCAGGGAGTAGCATGCCACTGGTCCATCGTGGGGGAAAAAAACCTTTTTTTTTTTTCAGCAAATAATCCATTCAGCTTTTACCCTCTCAGCAAGCCTTGAATAGTACGCTGGTTATTCAGGGCATTTTCTGGGATGTGAGCAGCTTGCTCGTTTATTGCCAGAGCGTCGGTTGCACTCACGAAACAAGTAAAACCTGTGCAGAAGCTCATTGACACTGCTGAGTAAGTGATCTTATAGCTTTAACTTTTGCAGCGGGAGCGTTTTTTTTTTTTGAAATATTAAAGGGCACAATTGAACGCATATTTGATGTGCTCCAATCAGTGAGATGTCTCACTTCTCTTGTGGGGAGAAAGTGTTGGAATAGGCGCGTCCCTTTTCTGCCGTCTCAGGAGAAAGGCCTCAACAGGCGCAGTGGCCTAACAGACGCCGTCAGTAAAATCAACAAGGAATCTTGAATTATTCTTTCACTGCCAAAAAATTGTTTTTTCTCCCTAACATAGGCGTAAATCATTAAAATTCAAGAGAAAATGTCTGTCGTAACTGCGGCGCTTGCAGGAAGTTCCATAGTTCTCTAGAAGTTCTTTATACATGTGCCTCATGCTTTTCATTTTCAGAGCGAATGGTGGAAAATACTGCTTATGAACCAAACGGCTTCCCTTGAAGAAAATTTCCAAGGTTGTGCGTCGAATCAATAAAAGTTCTGATCTATTTCATTTCGTCAAATTCATACTTGTCTATATTTATGCGTTAGATATCAGGCTACTGTATCTAAATTTTAGGTTATGTTCAGAATTGCATACGAAGTTATACGACAGCAAGATTTTGAACTCTTCATAAAGCAGCGATCGTGATCCATAACTGTGAAAGCATAGAACGTTTGCGAACGTTCTGATCCATTGATGCTGTCAAGCAAAGGTCAACTGGTCGGTCCGACTATTCCAAATGAGTAAACCTACGGGTACACGGCAGGAAGAGACCTGTCGCGTGGCGAGAAGGCAGAGACGCAGAGGGAAGGTGGACGAGTTGCGGTGTGTATTGCAGTGATTTCGCGCCATGTTAGACGAAATGTACTATGGTACGTTCCACATCACACAGCATGCACTGCGACTCATTCGCTGACCCTTCTGCGTCTCTGCCTTCTCGACGGGCCTCCTGTCAGCTTCCTGTACACGTGCCTAGAGACGACTGGGTTCAAATCTGCTTATCGCTTATCTGTGAACGATTTTCTTAAAGGAGTTATGAAGCAGGAAAGGCAGCGGTAGTATCTCTGACTCTTAAGCGAAGGGTTTTGGATCGACTCCAATGCGAGTTTGTACTTTTGCTCTTCTTAGAAATATGTCGAAACTTTCTCAGCCATATTTTCTGAGAGAACAACGTCACGGTTTCGCATTGGGAGCCAAGCACAACGAATCTCTGTACAACGACAGAGGGACACTATCGACTGCGCTTTCCTGCTCCACAACTTCTTTCATGAAATAAATTTCACAGATAACAAAACTGATTTGAACTCTCGCATCGCGGCAGGCGATATATAGGTAGGTATACATCTCACTTTGAATAGCCGGACTTATCAATTGACTTTTCCTGGTTGGAACTATGGGAAAAAAAAAAATTCCGGGGTTTTTTTTTTATGGGCGGAAAAACTACTTCAATAATGCTCCCAGGCAATTTCAATGAATAATACATGTAGAAGTATGAATAGTAAAGATGAATCGATTTGAGGCGCAAAAAAATGGTTTGCGACAAATCAAGAACAAAGTTACCCGGTCGCTGTGCATGGGATGGTTTGCTGTACCACGTGGTGAACCAGTAGCATCTATGGGTATTGCACGAGTATGTCTTCCAGAAGATGCGATAGTCAACACACGCACACATCATTCAACACCGTGCACAAACCGTGCAACACCGTGAACAGCAGCGTCGTGTATCGTCCATAGGACTCCTTTGATCCGTTGAATACAGAGTGGTGCTGTGAAACTCGTGTGCCTAGTGATTCTCGTCTTGCGTCTCGATAGTCACTTGGCCTGCTTTTTCATTTATCAGGAGTGGCTCAGTTAGACACCGTGAGCGCGCAGCGCACCACTAGCCTCTTTGGACTCGATATTCCCCTCATACAAAACATTGAACTCACGTCAAATTTGGACTTTCTGTTGAACTTCATCAATACTCGTCGGAATACTTCCTAAACACAGAGCTAAGGAAGCGACATCAGACATATGTCTGTTACCAGAACCACAGAATTGTGATGAATACTGGTTGTAAATGCCTTTCAAGACAAAAGCCGTAATGTTCTTGTAGGCGGCACGCTAGACACGAGTGCAAGTGTTCTTATGGAGCAGTGGTGAGGGGCGCCTCTCGCCTGTTGATGAGCGAGGATGTTTCGCATCTCCGCGTGCAGTTCTTTGCTTATCAGCATCACAAGTCGGTCTTTCCGGACGTTCTCTATCTAAATATTTTACCGCACCTTAACCAGCTCGAAATACGATTCAACTCCGAGTGGGCTCAGTTGGAAAGGCTGTCGGATAGAGTTGGTGCAGGTGTGGTATGTGCGCACCAACGAGCATTGCCAGCAGAGATGCAGTTGACCATTCCTGGGATGTGGATCGGAAGAACCGGTATGTGAGAACATCGAGGGAAAAGACGTGTGGATGCCTCATTCGCCAGGGTCCATAGTCTGTGGGATCAAGGGTTCCCACAGGATCACAGTGGGAACCGTCTGCTGGAAGACGGTTTAATACATACAGGGCCATTCAGCCACTGAGAAATTTTAAAAATTTTGTTACATAATCTGTATCGATGGAGACAGTGGTTTTTTCACCCGTATTGATCGGCTCGATGACAACAAGGAACTATCGGGTTCGTTACATGTGCTAGGATTACTAAATCAACAAAATTCTTAATCGTTGCAAAACCAGAGCGCTTGCTGAAGTCGATCCTGGGACCGCACAGGTGCTATCAGCCCAACATCACGTTCTACCATTCGTATCCTCTGCATTGAAGGTTTCGAGGGGCAAGATGTACCAGTGTGCTTTGTGATTGTCATGTCTCCAATGATTACTTTACCGGCCGAGCTTCCTGCGATAACTGATTCCTGCCCGAGAGCGCTATATTTATCTCCATGACGGGTTGCGCTTGACAATGCCGTGAAAAACTCGATTTCGAGCTCCAAAAGGGTTACTGAGTTGAGGAGTGCAGCGTGCGCTGGAGACCGACCACGGTCCTCACGTACCCACTCCCAAAAAATTCGGTTTTTTCTCACCAAGAGGTGATATTTGTGCCGGTAGAACCAGGAAAGTGCTGAGCTCACACCTGGTCTATCAGGGGCTTCTTCCGAGTGGTAATTGCCGTCTCCTGGTGGAGAGCCACCAACCTCGGTGCACTGATCCATTTGGGTGCGAAACCCTGCCTCGCGGGACCCATCGGTCCCAATGGGAACCTATTTTGGTTCCCATTGGGACCGGTGTCCCGCGAGTCAGGGTGTCGCACCCAAATGGCCCGCAAGATGTTACGTATCTCATGCTGGTCCAGAATGTTGGGGGTAACATACCTGAATATCGGGCCTCCAAAACTCAACGGTGGGGCACGTTACGACTGAAGTGGTCACTTCGACCAGCCATCCCTCTGTAGCCAGATGGAGCGGAAAGCATGAGCGATATGTTTTGTCCAATTGCAAGGGTGATGGGGAGTGCATCGATATCCCCAGCAAAGAAAACAAAGGCGTGGCTCTCGTCATCAGTTATCGACGTTGGTCGATAATGAGATCATCGGGTGTGCTGAACGGTTGGTGTAGTACCCGAACGAGTTTATCAGTCGATAGCATGATTGGAATGCTTTGGTGGAGTTCAGACGCATAGAGCATTTGCAGGATGGCCGTTGTATGTGGTGCCCACATTGCGACAAGGGCCGGCCATCGTAGTAGGCTCGGCTGCCAGAGTGACTAGCCGTCCGGTCGTCACTAAAACCGTTCAATACTAAGACCAAGTTGATCACTGTTCCACTTCCGTTCGCATAGAAGTGCACTGTTCGGCTGGAAATCGGTGGTGGTTCTGTAGTCACTGGATCGATTCTGATTTTAAAGGTGATTTGCGTACCGTTATCAGCCGACACCGTGCCAGCGGCGAAGCTTGCAATACTGGTTAGAGGTCTGCTATATCGTTTAGAGTTATATCAAAGATCATGTTATGTATGGTTGCCGTATGTATGTGTGTTGCGACATGTTGCCGCTTTGCTGGCAAGTTCTTGGCTGCTGTGGGCACGGCGTGGTGCTCACGCGGATGTGTTCGGCTTGCCGTTCCGCTGGTTGCACGGTGTTGCACGGTGTGTTCACATTCTTGCACGGTGTTGCACGGTGTTGTACGGTGTGTTCACGCTGTTGCACGCTGTTGCACGGCTCTTGCACGGTGTGCTCACATTCTTGCACGGTGTGCTTCACTGTTCTTGCACGGTGTTGCACGGTGATGCACGGTGTGTTCACGCTGTGCCGCTTGATTGACGGTGGGGCACGCTGTTGCCACGGCGTGTGCACGGTGTTGCACGGTGTTCCACTGTTGCACGGTGTTGCACGGTGTTGTACGGTGTGTTCACGCTGTTGCACGCTGTTGCACGTGTTGCACGGTGTGTTCACATTCTTGCACGGTGTTGCACGGTGTTGTACGGTGTGTTCACGCTGTTGCACGCTGTTGCACGGTGTGTTCACATTCTTGCACGGTGTTGCACGGTGTTGCACGGTGTTGCACGGTGTTGCACGGTGTGTTCACGCTGTTGCACGGCTGTTGCACGGTGTGTTCACGCTGTTGCACGGCTGTTGCACGGTGTGCTCACATTCTTGCACGGTGTTGCACGGTGTTGCACGGTGTTGCACGGTGTTGTACGGTGTGTTCACGCTGTTGCACGCTGTTGCACGGTGTGCTCACATTCTTGCACGGTGTTGCACGGTGTTGCACGGTGTTGCACGGGTGTTGCACGGTGTTGTACGGTGTGTTCACGCTGTTGCACGCTGTTGCACGGTGTGCTCACATTCTTGCACGGTGTTGCACGGTGTTGCACGGTGTTGCACGGTGTTGTACGGTGTGTTCACGCTGTTGCACGCTGTTGCACGGTGTGCTCACATTCTTGCACGGTGTTGCACGGTGTTGCACGGGTGTTGTACGGTGTGTTCACGCTGTTGCACGGTGTTGCACGGATAACTGGGGGCTCCGACGACTGCGGAGCGGTGGTGTGGACTCACATTGTTGCACGGTGTGTTGGCACGGTGTTGTACGGTGTGTTCACGCTGTTGCACGCTGTTGCACGGTGTGCTCACATTCTTGCACGGTGTTGCACGGTGTTGCACGGTGTTTGGGGGCATTGGTGTCTGTACGGGCGGTGGCTTCACGGCTGGTTTGCGACGCGTGTTGACGGTGTCGCCCCTGGGCGTTGGGTGGATATGAGCTCGGTCGCGCTAGATGGGAGTGGCACTTTCATGGCACAGGTGTTGCACGGGTGTATGCACGGTGTTCCGGTGTTGTACGAGTGTGTGTTCACGCTGTTGCACGCTGTTGCACGGTGTGCTCACATTCTTGCACGGTGTTGCACGGTGTTGTACGGTGTGTTCACGCTGTTGCACGCTGTTGCACGGTGTGTTCACATTCTTGCACGGTGTTGCACGGTGTTGCACGGTGTTGTACGGTGTGTTCACGCTGTTGCACGCTGTTGC